ATATTTGATGAACTCTCGACCTCGCTAGTGTGTTCCTTTCCCAGGGTGTAAATAGCCGGGCGTTACGTCGCGGGCTATTGCTCTTGACGATTTCAACAAATGTGTTGCACAATGCAGATCAGGCGAATTCAGATAAATGCCGGGCATTAGTTTACAAAAGTCGCAGCTTGTTTTTCTTATGTTTCACGAAGTCTTCAGGAGGGTAAAAATATCTTGGTAGACATCTTCGTAAATTCGATTATTTTTGCATGTTTATCCTCGAGCCGACGGCGCGAACCGCGTGCGAGAGTACTAATTTCCCCCGGCTATTTATACCTGCGAAGTCTAAAGTTTATAAATGATCGCGGGCGTGAGTCACCAACGGTGTTGGAGTGTTGGGTGGGTGGTCATCCTCACTGATCTCAGAAATGGACTGTCATGAATAGCAGACACTGATTGGTCCAATTTGAAGTTTGCATTATAGTACGACTGCAGCGAAATAGCAAACATTTCTTGACTTGATGATTGATAAATTTCTTGCAAATATATTTCATATTTGCTCGCATTTTTGCAAGATTTTATAAATTTCAAAAGCTTTCTCAGAAAGAAAGGGTGAAAGAATCGCCTAAAAGAAGAGTAACAACGTTAACGAAGGTAAGTTTGTTTTAAATATTGATTTTATAATTGCTTTAAAACCCGACGGCCTTTGCGTATATGAAACAACTAAACAAGACAGCATATAACTTCAGTGTATCTTTAATATTGATTTCCCTTTTAATTATATTGAATTTTGTAAATAAAATAAATACAGAAAAGTTATTTGCATGCGAGAATTTGATATAATTTTATTGCAAACTCAAAGTTTATCGATAATTTAAAGCCATTTAATTAAAGGCAGTTTAGTTTTATAAAGAACACTTTAAAACGTTTTGCGAAGCGTTCGTGGTTGAATTTTACCTTAAATTGAAGCTTATATTACATATAATAACATACCTGACATATATATGTTGGGAAATTGATAATTTTGTAATTAAAAGTGATATTTTTAGGCGATTGTTCATTTGTAAGAATATTCTTAAAAATTTATCGTGTTATTATGACAACTACTTTATATAATTGATGTTCGGAAAATACAATGGTTTTGTGAGCAAGGCGAGGGTTTCTGCACGCATGTATTTTCTAATAAGGTATATAATATATATGCTTGCACTGTCATGCATTGTATGGGCATGATTGTAATTATTATACATTCATTTGCAGTCGCTGCACGCGTTTTGATTGGTTAATAGCTTATACAGCTTAATATGGAAATCACACAGCCTACTGCTAACTTAGTTATCTGCTAGCAGATACGTGAGTTATGTATAGGTTGAGCCCGTATGTAATTTTATAACAAGCCGTAAAAAAAACAACTTGAACGAGCGGCGTTTTCGTGAATGGTTTTGTGGAAAAAGCAGACCTTTTTGACATTTTTATCCAAACTTTAGTAGCTAAATAAGATTTCTAGTATGTTATGCTGTTTATTGTCATATTTTACATCGTTTGTCACTGCTTTGTTTGAGAACCAAAGTTGTTTTGTGCGACAAAGCATTGTTTGCCGATGCAATGTATAACACTTACCTCGACCTTGATATCACAAAAACCTCATCCAATATAATTGTTTATTATACACTCACGCGCAAGTAACCAATCAGTAATCGTTGAGAGGGTCACGTGCCGATCCAATATTTTACGATATTGCATGCACAGGAACCTATTGGACAGTTGCGAATTGTGGCTTTTTTCAAGGTTTTTCAACCCTTTTCAGATGTTTTGTCAATTTCAAACATACGACAAACGATATGGCAGAATAATGAAAAGAATTTGGGACATTAATATCTTAATACAGTTTTTTCTACCAGTTTTGTTTAAAATTATAAAAGCGCGGGAAAACTTGTCTTCGCGAAATTTATTAGTTTGCAACAGCCTAGAAGTTAGTAATATTATTTTTTTCGTTAAAATTATAGGTAAAATTTCCTTTTAACATACATGGAATTGAGTTTATTTATGCACACATATTTGTAAAAACAGGTTTATTAACTTGTTTTTTAGTTATTTAAGCAAATTTTTGTTATAGAATTGTTTTATTCGATAAAATAAAACTCCTATTGGATTCATCTTCGCCCAATATGGCAAAAATATTAAGTCTCGACTTCAATATATTAGGCTCGACCTTCGGTCTCGCCCAATATTGAATGTAGCCCTTTCGGTCTCGCCCAATATTATTAATGTAGCTATTATTGTATTCGCAATCGTTATATTTGCTGCCAATTTCCTTTCTAAATATATGGTTTAATCCAGTTCCTCTTGGCATGAGCAGTAAATTGATTTTGGACTCGCAAATGAAAGTTTCGTCCTCGAAGTTCTATACATCCGGTGCCGATAATGGAAGAAAAGGTTTGCCATCTATACCTAATGTCCGACATGGTGGTTGGATAGCAGCAGACCATGATAGTGATCCTTGGTTTCAGGTTGATTTTATTGTCAATGTGACTATCAGCATATTATATATGCAAGGATTGTCTGGCACGAACCATAGTGTGACAAAGTACAAAATTGCCTCTAGCGATGATGGCGAAACATTCTCCGATTACAAAACAAATAACCAGCAAACGGCCAAGGTAAAATGTCAATTCTAATCACCGCAAACCAATGCGCGTATACATGTAAGCGCGTTTCTGCAAACTACTGTGCACCGTTCCGTCTGTTCTTCGGAGGCCGGTTGCTCAACCCTGGATTAGCGCTAATCCTGTGATAAAATTTAACCGGCTGTTTTGGTTGTGTATTTCCATGTACGTCCGTTTATTTACTTCAGTAAGGAAAACCCTTGTTGATTCAGAAACGACTTCTGAAATATTTCTAGGTGTATCAACAAGCTGTTGGGGTTTTAGGTTAACCTAGGCTTAAGGTTAAGCCAAACATCTTTCGAACAACCGGCTCCAAATCTCAACACCTGCTTTCTATGGGGTCGTGTCTGTTTCATCATAGAACCATGGTCTTTATCAGCATGCATGTTAGGACAGCTTAGAATATATAACATATTTTTTCTGATTTCCAAGATATATACAACTTTATATGATAACGTTAAGAATTTATTAAGCGCTTTTATTGATCGCAAGAGCCATTATCTATTAGAGAACAGACGCCGGAACTACCGCACACAAAACTCTTTGTTCTGTGCAGCCAATCACAACACAGCACATGGCTGAAGGTAGCCAATCTGTATATATCATGTACGCGTGATATTTGTAATTTTAATGTTTGGATGGATAAAAAGTAAGCGATAAAGCATTATGTTTTTATGTTTTCACATCTGGGGTTGGTTGTACGAAGGCCGGGTAGCGCTACCCACCGAATAGTGATCTTTTGAAGCTTGGAAGATTCGCCGTTGTTTGGCATAACCCAGATTAAACTTTAGTTTTTATAAGTTATCGGTAGTTTTAAAGCTGTTCAAGCATTTTTACAAAGGTTGAAATAATCAATATTCAGTGGATAGCGCTATCCGCCCTAGGATCTTACAGTCACGCGGGAATATTGCGTCACGCTAAGAAATTTGCTATTTTGCATCAGAGAAAACCACTATCACAATTTTCCAGAAAATGGTCTTTCTGAAATCGTAGTAAAGCCAGTCAAAAGAAGTAATCTTATGAAGCACTGTCCAAGCTAATTTTGGGAAAATTTGACGGCTAATAGATGCTGTGTATGTTTTTATTAACACTAAAGGTGATGTAAAGGTGATATATGTTCGTTCTGCGCATACATTCTGCGCAGGCCTACTACATTCCAATGGTCGGGACCCGATCATTGTAATGTTGTTAATATTTCGCACCTTCCAAACTTTATTGAATTGAATCTCTAGTCTGTATTCATTTACAAGCATAGCGAACCAGAAGAGTGTTAGAAATTTAATATGATGTATATCTAATCATATTTTACAACTGTAACACTGAGTTCAAAATTGGAATTTTTTACGTCACCTTTAAAAACTTGTCACTCGAAATAGCGGAAGTCGAACAATTTTGCCACATGATGTGTTGTGACGTCACTTGCAAGGCTAAATAGATTGAGCTTCCTAACTTTCATAATTATTACATTGTAGACCGATTCGAAATATAAAACATTTTCCTTGTTGATATGCACTACTCAGCACTAGTCAAAACATGATTAGCTAATCGTTAAAATTGGGTGCGAATGTTTGAACGTAGCCTATATTTAAAAAACGACCCATCTTATCATTGTCTAAGCCGAGAAAATCAAAACTGAAGTTTATGTAAATCAGGATAAATCTTTATCCGATTTACAAACATTGATTGAACATACATTTCTTTTGAATTTTCTTCATGAATTATTAATGAAGTTTTCACACAATTTCGAGTTTTCTCAATTTCCACGAGTGTTGATATAACTGTATATCAATACGGAAAAATGTTTTATATATTTTTTATAATATAGCGCAAAGAAATACAAACAAAGATAGCGCAAAGAAATACAAACAAAGAGATTTTCCGGGTTTATATTGAGTTATATCAGCGTTCAGAATTTATAAATGCTATATTATAAAATTATTTTTTCTTCCAAAATAAATTTCGACCAAGGTCATCGCTCTCGTCTTATATAATACCTCAAGACTATTAGTTTTACAGATCGAATATGAATTTAATACTATCTATTTTCTTTGAGAAATTAAATCTTAAAACTGACCGGAATTTCTCATAGGTTTAGCAAAGAAAGCTGGCTAGCCTCGTTCTGGTGCTTTTTGCGCACTTCAAAGGGCTATGATTTCACCTGTTTGAACTGTTTCGAATCTTGAACTCTATACTTTGCCTTAGATATTAGTCTCTGTTCAAAACCTTTTTATTAGCTTGGTAACGCATAAAATATAAAATAATGCAAAATTGTGGTGGTTAGTTTTTGAATCGGAGAAAACCACATATCATTTCCACACCCTTTTGCATAGCATAGCTATCCTAAAAATCCTTTACCTCATTTTGCGATGTCTGACGACCGCATGCACAATGCCCGGCATCAAATGAAAAACACAAAAGTATCCGAGGTGTCAAAGCTGGACCTCTTTATAGTGCCCCTGTGACAAAAATTTAGACGTTAGTAATCTAATTTAGACGTTAGTTAAACATTATCTCGAAATAAGCTAGCACGTAGCCTGTGCACATCCTGTATTACCCTGTGTAGTACAGGGTAATACAGGATGTGCACAGGCTAGCTAGCACGGCGTTCTTGGTTTTTCAATATCTTGTTTCGTTCTCTACATATACAGTTTTTTTACTCAAGTAGTCAAGAATATTAAATCAGGTTTAGAAAACGACGAAAATCTTTCTTTGTAACAGAAACAATTCATTAAAACTTTTTGCTAGTATATGGAATTAGAGTGTTTCAGATCTCAAAATTTGTATTACAGCGTTTTTTATGGAAACCATAGAGCAATAAATGCGTTTTGCTTGTAGACAATATAGAATATGTATGTACCACATAGCTATAGTGCTGCAAAGATTGAGTGAATTTTACCCATCACGAAGAAAGATATCCATCGTTTTATAAATCCGATTTAATATTCTGGAGCCAATAACGTCACTTTTGACCTAATTTGCATGTTTTAAAAAGCTGAATATCTTGAGAACGAAACAAGATATTGAAAAACCAAGAAGGCCTAATAGCTTACTGAATACAGTATTTCGAGGTGATGTTTAATTAACTAGGATTTAAATTGGAGAGATGATTTTTTCGTCACTGGGGCATATATTAATTGTTACTTTAGGTATTTAATGTCACTTCCTGGCAAGATATTTTCCCGCACATCTTCGCTCGCTTTATCCGGATTTACCCAAAGGAGTGGAATGGTTCGTGTGCAATGAGGGTGGAATTTTATGGTCGATATGAGGGTATGTATGAACGGTTTGTGACTAGAAACTAACGCAAATTGCGACACTCTGCAAACAGTATAATTATTTACTCCAAAATCTTCTGTAAGATTGGGTACTCCAAACAATTGTATAACAGTACATACGCAGATATCTTTAGAAACGAATAACGATTTGTGATTTAGGAATGAATGCAATTCACTAAATGATATACCGTCAGGTCTGTTTTCCACTAGAGGCGAATTTATTCTAGCGAAGCGACTTTTTCGTCGGCAAATGTGATGCCGAGAAAGGGAAAAGTCACTTCGTGCGAACAACTTCACCAAGTGGAAAATGGGATTAAATCAGAATTTTCCTAAAAATTGATTCTAAGATTCGAGGATGAATTTACTTAAATGATCGTGATGTCAATGCACTGGAGATTAGGGAAACTAGACTTGAATCCAATTTTCCAAAAGAATTAATTTTTATCCATTGATCACATTAATTGGATTGGTAGAGATAGATATAGAAATAAGCCTTGCTTGTGGGATTCGCTTTTACATTATTTAATTAGAGATACGGTACGTTATATCAAACCTTTTTTGTTTACAATAAGCAAGATACGAGAACATTTACAATAAGGCCAAACCGGTAAATGTAGTGACACAGGTCGCAATACCTTTGAAATAACTAACTGTTTTTTTATATGTGCATGCCTACACTATATAGTGATATTTTCTGATTTCCCGCATTCTGATTGGCCGCAGCAGCGGTCAAATATTTACGATGTCTTGATCGTGGTCCAAAAAAGTTATATTTTAGCAACAAACCGAGGAGTAAACACAATTTTTAAACTCGAAACACTACCCACAAAGTTGGAAATCCAGCCTATCGATACTAAAGATATTAAAATACAGTGAATTGACTTTAGTGGACTTATTCTAAGCCCAAAATGTATTTTTTCCCCGACCAAAATTGCGAAAAACACTCGAAAAACAAATATAAACATCGAAAAACGGCCAGGCAGTGTTTTTTATGTTCCACATATACATTCAGCTATTCTTCGAAAAATATACGTTTAAATATAAATACTACATCATATAACTTGTCCTCAAACATACAAAATAAAAGATTCTTTAAACAGCAGTATGTAAGCATAATTCCAGCCCTTAATTCGATCAAACATTGTTTATAATTAAATATACTGTAATGAACAAAATGTTTTCGACGACTAAAATTTGTAGTTGTGTGTCAAAAACATTTTTCAAGCATGTTCATAATGTAAAACGACCGAAAACTAAATAATTTTAATCAGTTTACCTTCTGTGTTGTCTTGTTAAGCAGAAAAGCATCTATTGCATTGAAACTAAGGGCTAAATTATTCATATATTGTAATTATTCAAATCTTTTCAATGATTTATTGTATTGGTAGATTCAAGTATATTTGAATTCTTTAAAGTCTAGCGATCACAAATATATGTAAATTCTGTAGTCTGAATTTTCGAAAAGCAATGAACAATTGCGCTTTCGAAGAGCAATGAACTCAGGAAAATCATGACAAAATCATAGTCACATATATTCGAATGTTGGGATAATGAAACAGCTAAAAACCTAAAATAATGCATAAAAATTAAATGATGTAAATGTTTTAGTTGTAACTAAGAAAAACTTATCGAGAAACAAGTGAAACTTCCAGAATTTATGTAACTAAGAAAAACTTATCGAGAAACAAGTGAAACTTCCAGAATTTATGTGATCCAGAA